TTGGTCAGCAGGCCGACGCTCTAACTGCTGAGCAAACTGGCCAGGGCAAGATACAGAGTTTTAATTAAACCTTATGAATTTCTATTTTCATAGCTTAAAATAACCGATATCTACTATTTTATATCCTTCAACGGGACTTAGAAAGGTGTCCTTTATATTCTTAAAGTGTTAAAAATTGTAAATATATTAGGTATATTTTGTGGTTTAGCAAATAATAGGGTTGGGTTTAAAAAAATTTTTTTTAAATTTTTTTTAAAAAATTGATTTTTAGAGAGGAATGGAAAGGGAGAGAGAGAAATCGATAGGCTGTCTCCTGCATGCCCCTCACTGGGAACCTAGCCCACAACCTGGGCATGTGCCCTGACTGGGAATAGAACCGGCAACCTCTTGGTGCATGGGTCGATGCTCAACCACTGAGCCACACTGACTGGGCTTAAAAAAATGTTTAATTGATCTTAGAGAGAGAAAGGGAGAGCAAGAGAGACATCGATGTGTGAAAGAAACCTCTATTGGTTGCCTTCTGTGTGCACCCCAACCAGGGATAGATCCCAAAACCTGGGTATGTGCCCTGATCGGGAATTGAACCTACCACCTTTCAGTGCAGGGAGTGACGCTCCAACAAACTGAGCCACATGGTCAGGGCTAGGGCTGTTCTAAGGCTAATGTTTTTAATGTTACAAAGGTAAAATTGACTTTTGTGTAAGTTTATCTGTTGGAACTGATCTTAACTCTGTAGAAAGTAAAACCCACTCAGAAACTTCAATAAGAATAATGTGTTCAATTTATGTGATTTCCATGATTTTATAATTTAATGAAAAGTATGTAATAGTACCAAAGTGTTTGTTTCTGTAGCTCCATTTTGAGCTTTACATTTAAGTGAGTACCTACAAAGAATGGAGAAGAACTAAAACAGTTTATTTCTTGCTTGAACATGCAGAAGTTTTTTTAATTTTTAAAATTTTTATATTTTTAAATCCTCACTGGAGGAAATTTTTCAATTGGTTTTCAGATAGAGTGGAAGGGAGGGAGGGAGGGAGAGAGAGAGAAACATCCATGCGAGAGAGACATGTCCATTGGTCATCTCCCTCAGGACCCCATCCAGGGCCGGGGACCAAACCACAACCCTTGGTCCTTGACTGGAATCAAACTTGAGACTCTCTGGTCCACACACTCTAATCGTTGAGCCAGACTGGCCATGGCCATGCAGAGGTTTTATAATTCAGTTTGAGTACTTGTTCAGGCTAAGAACAAGTTTCATAAGGAAAGTGCCAGTGAGCACATTTATAAATTTTACCTATTGATGAAAAGAATGGGAATTAAATAAGATGTCATATTTGATCAGTCAAATTGGTAAACTTGCTAATACCCAATTAGTAAGTTTATGGAGGTGGCACTAATACATGTTGCTTATAGGAGTAGATTTTGGGATAACCTTTCTGTAAAGGAGTTTAACAACACATATCAGAAGCATTAAAAATATTCATGCTTCTTGATCTAGTACTGTCATTTTTGGGATTCTGTCTTAATGAAATAATCAGATGTCAAGTATTTGTATGTAAAAATATATGTTATTTTAATTCTAACAGCAAAAGCTGGAGTAACTTAAGTGTCCATCAGTATAGGAATATTTAAGTACATCATGATAACTATCACATGGATGTACTGTATAGTCTCATTCAAGTTCATAGTCTCATTGAAATTAGAAATTAGAAAATGATTTTAGTCATAAATAAAATGCCTGAAAATAAACATACTAATAGTTAATAGTGATTATGCATAATTTATATATTCTGAATTTTTTGTTTTCCTTGTTCTTTTCTGTATTTAAAAAATTTTAACAATAGAACCATATATTTATTTTAAAATAGGAAGATTATATGACCAAAAATAATGACATTATTAATATTTAAAGACCCCTTTTCTTGAAAGATTTAAAAAAATTTATAAAGATGTTATCTTTTTATAACCCAGTTTAATAAATATTTATTTAATACCTATTATTTTATATGCTAGACAGAATCCTCTCCCTACAGTCATGAAAACCCTGCAGTCTGGTAAAAGAGATAATAAAAGCATTAAAGTATTATTAATATAAAGTAGAATGTCATATAGAGGATTCAGAGATGATAGGAGTTGTACCCAGCAAGGAGATATAAAAGAAATTGGTAAAACAGAAAACAAATTCTGAAGTATTTTCAAGAATGGTAGGATTTTTGACAAGCAGATATTGGGGAAACTAATAGGAAAGAAACTTCTAAATGGTAGGCATAGTTTGAACTAAAGCCCAGCGTGGGTTGTATGTGGGGAAATCCAGTTCAGATGAATTTGGCAGAGTTGAAGGAGAGGGCCAACTCACGGGTTGGTACTGTGTTACTGAGGATTTCAAAAGCCTTTATGGAGTTGGCACATCATTCAGTAGGTGGAGGGGACTTGGGTTCTTGAATGGAAACATGACATCGTAAGATCTGTGCTAAAATGGAAGCAGTTATGGTAGAAATCTCTTGTAGCTATAACATTATTCCAAGAAACAGAGTGGTCAAAGGAAGTAAAAGAGGAAGACTGTGAGAAACATTATGGGTAGATGCTATAGGACTTGGAAAATTGTCAGATGTAGAAAGAATGGGGGAGGGAAAATAATCCAAGTTTGGTCCAAAGCTTTTCTGCCAGAATGGCTCAGAAGTCAGAAAGAGGAAGTGATTTTGGGGGACATTATAAAGAAATTAAGCACCTTGAACTTCAGATTTCAGCAGCTCATCCAGGTGGAGTTGGCCAAAGAATGGATGAAACTTTCCTTAGAACTTGAGTAGATACTGTTTCCTGCTGATCTCTGGAGCTTTAGGGTGTAGATACTGTCTACTCTGTGATGGCACATCTCACTGATGAGTTATTCATCCAAGTTAACAAGCATCGACTGAGTGCCTGTCATGTCCTACACACTATGTAGGAAGTTCATATATGAAGATGAAAAAGACTTGGTGCTGTCCTCACAGTAGTCACCATCTAGGAGAATGGAAAACAACACACTTTGTTTTGGATGGCATACAAGAATCCCAGCTCCAGGTTTAGGCACTATTGTTAGTGTGTTGTAGTCGAGGTGTTTGTGACAGAGGGGTGTGGTTATTCTCAAAGACTAAAACAGGTGGAATCAATGCATAGCTCCTTGTACGAGTGAGTGAGTTTCAAAGCCATATATGAATCTTTAAATTTCAGTTTGAATATGGGGAGGTAAGAAAAACGAAGTATAATTTACTGAGGACAGAAAGTTAGCTAAGAAAGAATGAGAGGGGAAAGTTAAACACCATAATGTCCTGTTCCACCAATTATTATAAAAATGGAATAGACTGTTAACTAGATCACTGGTAGAAGAGATGTATGAGTATTTTAGGATGCATATTATGACAGTTGCCCATTTTTGAGCAGTTACTCTATGCTAGGCATAGTATTGGGAGCTTTTTATGTGTTTATTGAATTCCTCTAAAGGAAGTGAAATGCTATGTAGAAGAGTGTTTTTGGATGCTTCCAAAATTTTACACATGTTAATTGACTGTCAACGATTATTTCCCTTAAAATTTAGTTACTCTTGGTAAATGGTACTTAATAACAACATTAAAAATGTGCTGATGCAAGTTGCCTTTATTGTATTAATAGAGGGTTTCTTTTTTGTTGGTTTGTTTGTTAATTTTCACCCGAGGATATTTTTTCATTGATATTTAGTTAGAGAGGAAGGGAGAGAAAGAGAGAGACATATTGATTGGTTGGCTCCTCCATGATCCTGACTGGGGTGAGGATGGGACCCACAGCCCAGGTACGTGCCCTTGACCCAAAATTGAACCCGAGACCCTTTGGTATACGAGCTGACTCTCTAACCACTGAGCCAAACCCAGCCAGGGCAAGGGTTTCATTTTTAACACATTATTTCTTACTTTTAGAAACTACAGTTATATCTTCACAAAGTATGCTTCTGCAATTACTATTTTTAAGTTTTCTGAATCAAATTTAATTATTCTTTCTTGTAATACCGTTTCTAGTCAGTAGAGCTTTGGTAGGTTTTGATACTTATCATGGTTTATTTATTCAAATGAACAAAAGAGGTTTAGTTTTTAATGGTTAAAACAAAACAAAACAAAACAAAACAAAACAAAAACAAGATGAAATAACTACCTAACAAATATCGTTGATAAAACATTGGATTATTTTATGTTTATATTTGATTTATGTGAAATTGATTTTTATGATTTTGGTTTCTATAGGTTTCTGATATATATATATATGTATATATATATATATATATATATATATATATACATATATATATATATAAAATACAGAATTAGAATTACAGTAGCTTGCCTCATTAATGGCTGCCCAATTAATATTCCTCAATTGCATTACTTGGTGATACCACACATGATGTGTATGGGGAGGGGAGAAAATGGGAAAAATATTAATATGTCATTTATAATGGCATAATTATATACCAGATGCCAAATCTCCCCTCTAATCCTGGACTGGGCATTTTCAAAATGCGATAATATTATTGACTTTTTTTCCCCAGTGAAGTATACAATTTTAAGCAGCACTTATTTATGAATTTCCACTTGACCAAGGGGCCATGCTTGAAAAAATTATTACATAAACAAATCAGAACACAATCAGATGTTTCTAAAGCTAAATTATATTTAACTTTAAAGCAGAAAGTCAGCTGTGAACTTTTATATTATTTGTTATAACTAATTTCCCTTCAAAGAAAGGAATAGGTTGTCATTTCAGAAATAATTGATATTAGGGGATATGCTGAAACCGTACTCACCAGTCAGCAATAACAAAAGACATTTTATTAAAATGCTTGTCTTCCAGCACTGGATATATTAGTGGGTGGATATCATTGTCTGGCTTTTAATGATTATTAGAATACTTTTTTGCTTTTCTAATGGCTTAAATAAGTAACTATTCATTAGAGGATCTTAAAAAAATTTTTTTTTGGTTATACTTGTTCACAGGTGGAAAACTCTGGTCATATATCAGTAAATTTCTAAACAGAAGCACTGAAGGAAGCTTTGACATCGAGGAAGTGAAAAAATCTGCCAAAGTTCACCTGAAACAGCCAACTTCTGGTCCTCAAGGCAGCAGCAGCTTTGAATCCAGAGGAAGTGATGGTGGAACCACGCTTAAAGGTCTGCCTCTGAAGTCTAGTCTCACCCAGAGCTCTCAGGATGAGAGCAACCAAGACGATGACGGCCCAGACAGCTCTCCAAAATGGCCTGATTCTGGCTCAAGTTCAGAAGAAGAATGCACTACTAGTTATTTAACATTATGCAATGAATACGGGCAAGAAAAGATTGAACCAGGGTCGTTGACTGAGGAACTGTTCATGAAGACTGAAGGAAATAGTGTTGAGACCAAAGCTGTTGAAGGCCTCCCCGCACACCTTGCTGCGGACCATGACAGCCCCAGCGCCCCGCTGAGAGCTCACGAGCTGAAATTCTTCCCTGCGAAGGAGGACCTGGAAGCAGCTGGTTCTCCAGGGGCCTCAGATTCCCTCAGTAGATCTAAAAACAGCTCCATGGAATTCTTTAGGATAGACAGTAAGGATAGCACTAGTGGACTCCTAGGACTTGATTTTGGAGAAAAAATGTATAGTCTAAAGTCAGAGCCTTTGAAACCATTTTTTACTCTTTCCGATGGGGACAGGAGTTTTAATATTAATGACAGCAAGGTTATAGCTCAGGACACCATTAGCAGGGGCTCAGATGACTCTGTCCCAGTTATTTCTTTTCAAGATGCTGCTTTTGATGATATCAGTGGTACTGATGAAGGAAGGCCTGATCTCCTTGTAAATCTACCTGGTGAATTGGAGCCAACAAAAGATTGTGCAGCGATGGGGCCCACTAAGTTTACACAGACGAATGCAGGCATGATAGAAAGTAAACTGTTGGAAGCCCCCGATGTTTTGTGCCTCAGGCTGAGTGCTGAACAGTGCCAAGCACAAGGAGAAGGCTCGGAGGAACTGAGTGATCCCGCTAGGCTTCCATCTCATGGTATAACAGAGAAACACTATGTACAGGGGGGTCCTGGGGTACTATTTGTAGCCACTGTTGATCATGGTAGTTCAGGAGACATGTCTGTGATGCACAGCCCAGATTCTAACTTCCAAGGACTTGGAGTGGTTGAGTTGGCAGGGACTGCAGACAACACAGAAGAAGGTTTGTTCCCTACTTCTGACCCAGTCTCAGGTGCTGATGAATGTAATGCAAACACAGACACTTTAAAAACTGAACAAGTATTGCTGTTTACAGATCAAGCTGATGATTTGGCTGGAGAGGAATCGACTTCATTTCCGAGAGACTCTGTGACTGCGGGAGTGAGTGGGTTAGCACTAGAAGGAGGCAAGGAGATACATCAGATTTTTGAGGACCTTGATAAAAAATTAGCACTGAACTCCAGGTTTTACATCCCAGAGGGCTGCATTCAGAGATGGGCAGCTGAAATGGTGGTAGCCCTTGAAGCTTTACACAGAGAGGGAATTGTGTGCCGCGATTTGAACCCAAACAACATCTTATTGAATGATAGAGGTCAGGAACTTTTGCAAATGCATTTCTTTTTATTCGCTGTTGCTTCCAATTAACTGAGTAGGCGTTTTATCTTGTAATTAGTATCTTCATTTCCTATCTAGAGCTTCATTATCAGTGCAGCAAATTCACCCCCAGTAATAGCTTCTAGTACTTAATGATGCCATTATTCTTAATGATACTGTTTTTAGCTACAAAAGGAGTAATTACAGTTCACTTCTGCAGAAAATGGAAGAGAAAAATGTTTTGATTTCTCCTGTCGTTTTGTTTTTAGGACACATTCAGCTAACGTATTTTAGCAGGTGGAGTGAGGTTGAAGATTCCTGTGACAGCGATGCCATAGAGAGAATGTACTGTGCCCCAGGTTAGAGCCATCTCCTGCATGTTTCACTTGACAAAGTAGTTCAGCAGCTCACGTTTCTTCATGGAAGTTGTTTTTTTCATTAGCAGTTTACATGTGTTGAATTTGGTTATCTCTTTAACCCTTCAAAAAAGAAAATTGGGGACCGAAACTATTACATAATCCATAGTTGTGTGTGTGTGTGTGTGTGTGTGTGTGTGTGTTGTTGTTAAATGGGTTTGTACTTCTTGTGGAACTGGCAATGTCTTAGAAATGTCATAACTTCCTAGTGTTTAGAAAGACCTTTAAATACCTCAAACTTCTTTATCTTTAAATGGATTATTTTTATTAAGATGTGAGAGATAATTGATTAAAAGGCTAAAATTTCTAAGGCCAATAATATGAATAAAGAACAGAATTAAAAAAAAAAATACAAGGATGTGACTTCAGTGATGAGCCAAACTGGCATTTTAGAGCAGTTTTTTAAAAAGAGTTCTTTCTATATTTGGGAAATTTCAGGAAGCATGTTCTTTTGTTTTAAAATAGCTTGTTTTGCCAAATATTTGATGTAACAGGTTTCTCTTCTTACTGTATTTTCTTTTTCTTTTTTAAGAGATTTATTTCTGGGGGGTGTTAGATCCTTTGTTAATAATTATAGGTCACTTAAGCATGTATGAACTGTATTTAAGTTAAGTTTCTCTATCAGATGGGGCTATATTTGAATCCAAAGTTTGTTCACCTTTTCCTTAGCATCCAGCCTCTTTGGATGGCCAAAGTTTCTTCACTTGTCACCTCACTGGCTTTCAAAGGATTTGCAAGCTGATTATGTTGACATGATCTGCTTAGTTGTTGATTGATACAGTGTTTAAAGTGCTTACTAGCTAACCAGTATATTATTGATGCTAACAGTGTTTCCCTGCATAATGGGAAATGATTATAATTAGGATTGAAAGAGCTGTATTGTTTTTAGCTACAACCTTCACTATTAAGAATGATTTCTGCATTGGAGAATTTCAGAGTTTTTCAACTTGCAAAGCAAATATCCTAAAACTTATTTTCTGAAAACAATGATTTGGATTTTCTTCCTACCATTTCTTTCTTTCTACCCCCAAATTAGGGCTCTTTGTTTTTTGTCTTCCTAGGGGCAATAGAGCATACTTACATTTTTTGTTTTTCTCAAATACATAATATTATGCTGCTTTTTTTTTTTTTTAATAAAAACCTTATTAGTATGATTTAGTTAATGGGCCAACAAAATTTTTTTCATCATAAAATCACTGTAATGGTTATCTGGTTCTTTTATTTAACAGATCCTCTCCTTTTCTAATTCGATAAGAAATAACATTTTAGAGTATACATAAATATATGTTAATTATATTTAATTGGAGGTTTCAGAATCAAAATTAAATCTGGGGATTTTTAAAAAAGTGAAATCCTGCCCTGGCCAGTTTTGCTCAGCTGTAGAGCATCGGCCTGCGGACCTGAGAGACCCGGGTTCGGTTCCCGCTAAGGGCACGTACCTCGGTTGCAGTTTGTCCCCGGCCCTGGTTGGGTTGTGCGGATGGCAGCCACTCGATGTGTCTCTTTCACATCAATGTTTCTCTCTCTCTCTCTCCTTCCCACTCTATCTGAACAAAAAATGGAAAAATGTCCTCAGGTGAGGATAAAAAAAAAAAGTGAAATCCTGTTAAATTTTAAAGTCAGGTGTATAAACCTTACATCAAAACCAAATGTTTATGGAGCATTGTTTAATGTTTGTAATGCCTCATTATTTCCTGTTAGTGTTGTTACTTTCTTATGGAAACTATCTGTAGGGTTTGTGCTTGGGCATTCTAGCAGATTATTTTTCTTCAGTTTAAAGTACAGTCATGTTTACTGAAACAATATAGCATGATGACCTCCTGAGAGTTTAAATATATGTGGAACAACTACATTCATCAATAGATGCAACTTTCAATTTTGTGTACTGAAATACTGAATTTAATAGATCAGTATCCAAGTTCTAATTTGTAAACCTTTTTTCAGAAATCACAATTCTTACTGTTGACCAGCAGGTGGCAGTCTATCATTAATGGATTTTTGCTCTCATCTTCCAGGTTGTCCTTCACTAACATTCAAAAAAAGCTGTAGTCTGAAGAAGGGCTTTGTTTTAATTATTTGCATAAAAGAATTGTACTTTTAAGCTTTGTGAGTTGCAAAAGTGTCCTAGTATTATGGCTTGCATTGAACAATGTGGAAAGTCTCTTCATTCCTTGGGCTTATTAATTTATTTTATCAACAAGATAAAATAAAACCAATACTGGCCTTAACTGAAAAGTAATGCTAGTGTTCTAACTTAGATGATTTTAAACCTAGAGAGTTACAGGACTTAGTTGAGTCTGTGTACTCCTGCCCCTTGCGTACAGTGCAAGAGGAACTGGAGCAACATTTTGTAAATTACTGTGTCTCAAAATTCAGTAGCAAGTCCTATTGATAAAAACAAGTAGGCCTTCTTTCTCTTAAAGGGGTGGGAGTAATGATGACACACTGATATTTCAACACTTAAGAATCACAAATCGGTGAGTACATGGGGACATGGAGTACTTAGTCCTCTTTTGATCTACCCTTAGAAACACTAAGGGTTTAACTAGTGTTTAACTAATTCACCCACACCCCCCTGCCCTCCCATTTCCCAACTCTAACCTTAGTATTATTGTCCAAGTAACTCTAAAGCATTAAGCCGCTGATGTTTGCTTAGAAAGTAAAGTTGTCACAAGATTATGGTGAGAACGATTCTCTTCTGTTTAAACAGTGTGCAACCTCTACCCCTACCACCTCTCCCTCCTGGGAATCCTTATCACTTTTTGTCCTGAAAACATTACCCACCTGCCCTGACTTCATAGTATCAGCAATGTATCTTTTTATCTTGTGGATGATGTGCCTTTATATTTTGAGAAAAATTTCCAGTAACAGATCCGATTTACACGGACAGAAACTTGAGCAAATGCCAAACTAGCAGGGGGGCCATTATTCTGCTCTATAAATAAGTTTAAAAAAAGAAAGAAACACACACAGAGAAACCTGTGAATCAACATGTTTTGGTCTAATTGAGGGGAAAGCAAGATAGATAAATTTTGAAATGCAAATGATCACCTTCTGTTATTTAAGTATAGTTTCTGCCAACTTTGTCATCTTAAGATTTTAAAAAGTCATAGTCATTTCAACAATGTATGCCACCAAGGATGTCTGATACTGAGAAGCTTTTATAACACAATGAAGACCGTTTTTTAAAAAGTTGCCACTTCCTATATTAAAGAAAACAAATCCAACAACAAAAAGACAAAACCCATGGAACGTTCTCTGTCTACATCTGTGAAAAAGCCAGAAAATAAATGGCTGCAGCTGCAGGCCTATCAAGAGGGTCTTGAGAATACGAATTCGCTGATCAAACCCAGCCCTGTTTTCAAAGTAGAAGCCCTTCCTTTTAGGTTCACTTTGTATCCTTAGATTATGTAGGGTGACTCTCTAGGAAGGTTTTATTTTAAATAAACATCATTCATGGTAAATGGGTTTCTTTCATACCAGAGAAACAGAATGCAGTTCAGGGAGAGAAAGAGCAAAGAAAGAGTCCCCCAAGTAGGCATAGATTGTATAACATGACAATATAAATATAACCGTGTCTAGTTTCCATATTAGGAGACTTCTCCATACTGTATTAAGAGACTTTTAGACAGGCTTCCCTGTATTTCATTGTGAGAGACTATGGAATAAAAATTGGAGTAAATTAGGACTTCCTTGTAGCTATTCTGATTTTGTTTTTATTTGCACATATATTCACACACGTACATGCACACAAAGGATTTTGTGTGTTTTAGCATTGGAACTGTTTATCATAATATAGAATAATTTCTTGTTACATCACTTTAAGCACAAAGGAAAAATAAAATGTCAAGGAAGTATTTTTCTTTTATTAGTAGTTTTTAGCAGTCTTGACTCATCATAAAAAGCAGTTAGAAAATAGAACTTATAATATTAAGCATATAAAATACAAACAACTGTATTTAAAAGTTTAATATGCAATCTAAGACAAGTGAGTCAGTTTGTTCGTTATGCTAATATTCTCACTGAAGTTCCCCACTGTCGTCTGAAGAAGCCGAGATGCTTTCCTATCTGGGTGTGTCCTTCACCTTTCTTTCCCACCTATTGGAAGCCTTGCCGTTTGCATGGGTGCTTCTCACTGAGTACCTTTCAGACTTGGGAATTTACAGGTGGATATGTGTGTAAATTGCAGAGGTCCAAACGCTCTGTATGGTTCCAGTCTCCATGCTCCCAGATGTCAGATGACAGCTTGGCTTTCTCTCTCGGGCGATTTCACACTTGGAAGCAGCTCGCAGCTGATGGGGAGAAGTGCAGCACAGAAAAGTCGTGAAATGCAATTGTAGAACATGGCATTTATTTACCGCCATCCTTCGCTCTCCTAGTCTGACTTTATGGAGTAGTCCCTGAATATGTTTTTTGAGAGTCGTCTCCCCTGCCCTTCTCTATAAACAGGTTTTACACACAATTTGTTGCTTATTAAGCATGGTGCTCTGGGTGATAGTTATGTGTTTGATAATTCGATCTAGGACTCAGACCATGGATGGTTTAAAATATCGTGAGGCCGTTATAAATTTAAAATTTAGAATATTGAGATGGAATTGAGGATTACTAAACCTTGATATTTGTCCCGTATCAGCCATTAACTCATCGCACGACCTCACTGTGCACGTCACTTAAGACTCCCAGGCTTTACCTGACCAGCAGTAAATAGATTAGTTGAGTATAAAAAAGATCACAGATGTCAAGTCATCCAATTCTCTTCTTATATAAAATTTAGTAAAAATTCAAATCTATCTTATTAAGGCAAGAACTATTCCCCCAAGGATAAATATTGATCTCTTTCTAATATTAATTGGGTGAAACGAATTATTTCACTTGGAGGACTTTCTAAGTACATATTTTTACTCATAGAGTTTTATATAAAGAATATGTTGTAGAAATGAGGG